CTCCGCGGCCTCCGCGGCCTCCGCTCCAGCGTCTCGGAAGGAGCCGCCCCTCCAGCCCACGGGGACCGCCGGGCCGGCCCGGACGCCCCGAGGCGAGGTGACAGTCCCGCACGCCGGAAGTCCCGCCCCCGCGCGCACCAGCCCAATGAGAGCTGCGGACACGCACGCAGAGCCTTCCGGGTGATGTAGTTCCCGCCTGGCCTCCGGCGAGTCAGGAAGCGGGGGGCGGGGCTCCCGGTCTCCTTGGCAACCGTCTAGCAGAGCTGCGCGGAGATCTCGGAAGTGAGTTGTAGGATTACACCGGCTTTCCTCTTCCCGGGTCCCCGCGCGCGATGCAGCTGCTCCGGAAACTAAACTGTGGAGGCTCTAAAGTGCGAACTTCCCAGGTGCCAGTAGGCAAGCGAGGAGCACGAAGAAGAAAATGTAACGGGAAGGGCACTTTACGAGTTAGAGGAAACCGGGTGTGGTGGCGCATGCCTGTAATTCCATCACTCGGGAGACTGAGGCAGGAGGATCGCGGCGAATTCAAGGCCAGTTTGGGCTATATAGTGAGTTCAAAGCTAGCCTGAACTACATAGGGAGACCCAGACTCAAAACAAAACAAGCCGGGTGTGGTGGGGCACGGCTGTAATTCCAGCACTCAGGAGACAGAGGCAGGAGGATCGTTGAGAGTTTGAGGCCAGCCTGGGCTGCAAAGTGAGCTCAAGGCCAGCCTGAACTGCATAGCAAGACCGTCTCTCAAAAAGACCAAAAAAAAAAAAAAAAAAAACCCCCAAAAAACCCCAAAACCATTTATTTACACCTCCAGAAGAAATTTGGGAATTTATTCCCCTTAAACCAGTGGGGATATGAGACAGTACTGGAAACAACAACCTTCTGCTTGCTGTCCCTACCGCTCAAAGACCAACCACCCGTTCCTCAGGGTGAACTCTAGGCCTGTGACTTAGCCTTGCATTCAGGCCATCAGTTTGGTTCCCCATACTCCCCAGTATCTCTCAGGAAAGAGCCTGCATCCACTGACTCCTCTGTGGTAAATGCTGGGCACTCCCTGAAGCTGTCACCCTCTTGTCATTACTGGTAATAGCCCATTTCTAGCCAGGCTGGTGGTGCACACCCACAGTCTCACCATCTGGGAGGCTGAGCCAGGAGGATCACAAGATCAAACCCAGCCGGGGAGCTGGGGATTGAGCTCAGTGGCACAGCACCTGCCTGGCAAGCTCGAGGTCGCGAGTTTGATTCCCAGTACTGGAAAAACAAAACAAAACAAACCCAGCCTGGACAACTTAAGTGACTTAGTGAGACTCTGTCTCAAAATGAAAAAAAAATTTAGATGGTTAGGTGGGCGTGGTGGCACACACCTGTAATCTCAGCACTCAGGAGGTTGAGGCAGGAGGAATCCCATGACTGGGAGGCCAGCCTGGAATTCAGATCTTTTTTTGAACTCAGGATTGATAACCACCCTACACAGGCCCAGCCAAGAAGGTGGGAGGACAAGTCCTCTGCTACAGCTGCCCTTCATGACACTGTGAGCTCTCTCCCGCCACCGGCCCCCATTTAATACTAGGGATTGTGCCCAGGGCCTTCCCACAGATGTACATCCTCAGCACTTTTTATTTTTCTATGTTCAGACAGGGGCTTTCTAAATTACTAAATTCCCCAGGTTGGGCTAGAACTTGCAACCCTCTTGCCTCAGCCTCCCAGAGTGCTGAGATTACAGGCATGTACCACCATACCAGTACGGGTGTTCTTGGTGCCTGAGGCTCTACTTCTGGCTAAAGGTTTTCTCACACGAACTCCTCACTTTGGCCTTCTCATAACTGTAGCTGTGGCAAATGTTTTTTATGCTAAAAAAGATTCTAGAGACAGTGAAGGCTTTCCCACACTGATTACACTAAGAATTCTTTCCTCTACAGTCAACTTTCGGATGCCAAGTGGTTGGGTGTTTTGCTTTGCATTTTCTTTCTTGGGGAGGGTGCTGAGAAAGGAAGCCATTGGGTGGATGCGTTGCACTCAAGCTCTTTCCATATTGTGGATATGCAGCAAAGGTTGCTGCTGGAAGCCTTCTTACATCAGTGCATACAGAGGTTATTTCTCAAGTGTGAACTTTCTGGTGCTGAAATTAATTTTTTTTTTAGTCAAGGTCTTTCTATGTAGTCCAAGGTGGATTTAAACTTACTAAGTAGCCTAGGCTGGCCTCGAACTCACAATGACCCTCCTGCCTCAGCCCCTTGAGTGCTGGGATTACAGGTGTGCACCACCAAGCCAGGTCTAAGGACTTTTTAATTTTAACCTTCAGGACAAAATGAAACTTTATTTATTTATTTATGTATTTATTTTTGCTTTTTTGAGACAGGGTCTCATTGTATAGTTCAGCCTACCCCTGAACTAACTATATAGCCCAGGCTGGCCTCGAACTTGCAGCAATCCTCCTGACTCAGCCTCCCAAATGCTGGGATTACAGGTGTGTGCCACCACACCCAGCTCAAAATGAAACTTTAAAAATTAAAAACAATTTTGAGACAGGGTCTCACTATGTAGTTAAGGCTGGCCTTGAACAAACTATGTAGCTCAGGCTCGCCTCACACTTAAAGAGCTCCTCCTGCCTCAGACTCCCAAGGTCTGAGATTACAGGTGTGCACCACCAAACCAGGCATAATCATCACCTCCCCTTTTTTTTGGCACTGGAAATCTAACTCAGCACCTTGCGCTTGCCAGGCAGGCGCTATACCACTGAGCTATATTCCTGGCCTACCCCTTCCTCTCTTTAGCCCAGATAAATGGACAGAATATGCAGACACTGACATCAGGAAGTCAAAGTCCAGTTTCCTTTCCACATGGACAGGAGATACCAGAAAGTGGCCAGGAAGGATGAAGCAAACTTGGGTTTGTCTATTGTCTTGTTATGGGGCTGGAGAGCCCTTCTATACTTGGCCACAGTTACATGGTGAATTGTGGCAATAAGCCCCCTCCATCTTCTCAGAGTTAGCTGTGAATAAAGCCTTTTTGTTTTCACGAAGCCTCCAGTGTTTCATTTGGAGAACGGCCTATAACATAGTTTTCTTATTATGTTTTTGGTACTAGGAATTGAACACAGGGCCTTTGTCTCATCAAGCTACACCCCAGCCCTATGTTCACTTGATTTTTATTTACTTACTATCTATCTATTTATCTATCTATAGACACAGTCTCTGTAAGTCACTAAATTATCTAGGCTGGCCTTGAACTTTTGATCCTCCTTCCTCAGTATCTCAGAGTGCTGACAGTAATTTCTCTGTGAGTTACAGAAAGCCAAACATTTGGTAAGTAACCTTGAGATAACTCCAGAATGTGCAACTGGAAATTTACGACCACTCTGTGTACCACCCACCTGCTAAAGCTGAAAACACACCTCATCTCTACATGTATCACACCTAATCTCTACAGAAGCCTTGAGCCTGCACCCCCTAAGTAAGCTGGCATTTTCAGGCAAGCACTGCCGCTGAGCTACATCCCCAGCCCAAGGTGGCATTTTCAGAAAAGTCTCCATGTTCCAACTTGTCAGCTTGTTTCCAGTGAAGCTCTTTCTTCCCTCATTACTGTCTCCTATATTTCCCTATATGGGAAATATAACTCCCAACCTTCCAGATGTCATATGCGCCAAGTTTGTGTCCCTTAAAATCAAAGAATGAATTCCAAGGAACAACCACAATTAAGAGTAGGAAAGGTTTATTAAGAGATACCTCTTGAAGGGGCTGGGGATTTAGCTCAGCGGCACAGTGCCTGCCTGACAAGCGCGAGGTCCTGAGTTCCATTCCTGGTACCAGAAAAAAAAAAAAAAAAAAAGAGAGAAACCTCTTGAGACACAGGAGGAGTCTTGAAAGTGGGGTGGCCACCAACCCCCTTTGTCAGGGGTAAAAGTCACAGCAAAGTCACAATGTGGGTACAACATGGATCAAACTGTAACCAACCTATAAGATTACAAGTATAACTGCTTAGCTAATATTGATTCAATAGGGAAGTGGATCACATAGCAAGGGTACAGGGAAAGAACGAAAGCATTTTGGGGAAAGGATGGGTCTGACCTACCTGGGTAACTGATGCCTATCTGGAGTTCCTGGGATAGGTGGTGCTAACTATAGTATAATTCCAAGTTACTGCTTATCCCATTAGGGAGGCATGTAGGCCTGGCCACTGCATCTTTATCCTTAGGTTCAGCCTTCTTCAGATGAACCTCCAACCACAATTCGGATGTCTTTATTTTTTTCTGGTGACTCCCTTGAGAGCCTAGTACTTCTCTGACTGTACATTAATTTTTGTTTTTATATATTAATTTTGAATCTAATTTAGCAGTCTATAATATTCTGATGGGAGCTGTTACTTTGGCAGTTAAAAGGCCACACACAATAGAGGCTGGTTGAGGATGATGGTAAGAACAATGACAGGTCCCCTCGGGGATGGGGTGTAGCTGTGAATGCAGCACTTGCCTAGCATGCTCCAGGACCAGGGTTCGATCCCAAGTATGTACCAAAACCAAAGACAAACCAGGAAGCTGGGCATGGTAGTGCTTGTCAGGCTTGACGCGGACATTTCCCAGCACCCAACCTGTTTTTCAGCAGGCACAATTGTTCCAGCAAAAACTACAACCACAGCAGGAGTGTTACCCTCAGGAAACACAGGACAGGATGTCATAAAGAGATAAGATTGAACACAGAATCTTCTCAGCGCCAGGACATCAATTTATACCGGACATTTGGAGAACTTTGACCACGGATGTTTACCCAGACCTCATCAGATGAGGTCCCTTGCCTGAGCTCCCCACTTGACCTCTCCCCTTGTCCAAGCCTTATAAAAGGCTCGGCATTTCTTCGTCCCACACAGACGGCCTTTTCGACCTCTGTCTGCCTGCACCCAGAGACGATAAACTTCATGCCATGTTACCTTTACACAAGCTTGATAATCTCTGACGCACGCTGTTCCTCATTTAGGAGGCTGAGGCAGGAAGATTGCCAGGAGTTCCAGGTCAGCCGGGGCTACATAATGAGTTCAAGAGCAGCCAGACTACACTGCGAGACTCTGTCTCAAAAAACTAACAAAACAAAACAAAAACCAAGACGGGCAGACTCTTGTAATCCTAGCACTCCAGTGTTTAAGAAAAAAAAGG